CAGTGCCAACGCATGCGTGTGCTTGTTCGGGCGTCGAGACGCCATGGTGGTCGACGAGAGAAAACACCAGTCCATGCCGATCACAGCCGATGTACACGAGTGTGTTCCGCGTTTGGGATTTTTTCGACAAGCTGATCATCTAGGTTATTTTGTGGTGATTGAATCAACCTTCTGCATAAATAGACATGTGGGCAATGTGGGCTTTGAGTTTCGCTCGAACAAGAGAGTCAATGGATCCTTAGAGGGCACTCCATATCAGCTGCCGCTTTTCGCTCCTGTAAATGATGTTCAAGACACTTCTCGAAGGGTCAATCGCTCTTCAGCCAGTTTTGTGTTCTTCTTCAGCGCCTCTATTCACGACCACCAGCCCCCGTTCGTGGCGGTGTCAACGAACCGCCGATCCCGGTTGGCCAAAGAAACGCCCGTGCCGCGGCGGTGTCGAAAAGAGGCGGACCATCCGGAAACAAACAAGCCATGGAGATGGTGGGAGTCGACGGCCATGGTTTCCTCGTGGTGTTTTGTGTGTGTGTTAGTTTTGTTATGTTTTGTTTAGTCCAATCCATTGAGATGTGGGGCCCCCAGGTTTTGGGTGATTGAAATGTAGGTCGTAGGTCCCACGCTCCTTGAATTACATTTGCCGAGTCCAGGGGTGTCGTTGGATGGCGAAGCTCTCCAAAGGCCGGTGTGGGTGTCGCCAGTGTGGGCCTTCCTGCTTCCAAGTAGTGTCCAAAGGCCGTTCCCAAGTGGGTTCCCAAAGTTTGCAACGTTGGGTCGGTCGCAGAAAAGGGTTTAGGGTTTTAGGGTTTAGGAGTTTAGGGTGTGGGTCCCAAAGTTTACCGGGAATACCGGGACCTCAATCATGACGATTGTGTCGATGTGGAGTTTCAGGCACTGAAGACGAGGTTCACGAAGTACTGAAACAGAATTCGGGCACGACACTGTTTGTAGTTGAAAACCAAGCCCTTCGCCCCGTTCGCCCACCGTTCCGTTGGTTCTGTGCCAAGGAAGGATCAACGACGTGGATATATCACCAGTCCCGGTCCTTAGATCGCCTTGAAAGAGCCGGCCCACCGTGTCCTTCACATTGGGCTAAGCGGTGGTGATCGTGGTGTATGTTGTTTGTTTTGTTTGCCAAACAGGTAGGAGTCCTGCCCAAATGCAGGCTTCATTCTTAGACAATGAACAACTATATGAAATCTTCAGAGATCTTGAGCTTCTGCTTCCGAATCTCACTTTGGGCTCAAGAGTGAGTTTGGTTTTGAAACAATCATTGTGTCGATGTGAGTGATGTACTGCTTTTCGGTGCTTCTCAGCCTTGCCTTTGTGGCAATACAAGTGGGACTTGATTGACATCAGCAAACAACATCTCCTTGAGCTGGGTGGTGGTTTGATTGTGTTTCCCATCTCTTTTTGCCTGGCATGCTAATGATCCGAAGGATGGTCACAGTACCAACCACCCAACACCTTCATTGCACCGAGACCATCAAACAAGTCACCGGGAAACGAAAAACGAAGAAAGGGTACTACCAGGTGAAAATGGGAAGGATAGTACCCGACTGGGGAGTACCCTTAGACTGTCTACTACTTACTACCCATGGGGAAGACTATCCATGAACTACCCAGGATACTACTTACTCACCGACTACTGTCCTTTAGACATTTTTAGACAGTTTCCATGTGAGTTTCCTCATTGGACGACTGGCTCACGGAGTGATAACTAACATCCTGTCCCTGAGTCGATGTCTTCCACGCTGTCGTGGTGTAAGTGTCGATGGATGTTGGTGCTTTCGAAGCGTAGATGTTTCGACTGTGGACGTTCGATCTGTACGTCGCTTTTGTCCGAGGTGGCGGAATTAGTTGATGCTGAGAGAAATTGGGCGAATCACGATGAATCATGTCGATAAAGGAGAGATACATCCTGATGTACTGTAATTATATACAACTTTGACGGTCCATGGCTTCAGATGGTTTGTGGGTTTCAACCGTCATATGTCCCACTTAAAGATCTATACAGTAAATAAACATAATATCATATAATATCTAATACAGGCCATTTGCAGTGAAGACAGAGATGCGACCCGGCATCAGTCATTTATCCCAAGTCTAGGGGCAATCGGCTGATCCCCCCACCCAGTAATAATCCACACAAAACCTTCCACCCGGCTTCTACTAGGGTCACTGAACATATAGGCTTGGAGTCTGGAGAAGGACCTAAGGATCCCTTTGCAAAGCAGTCTTGAGGACCAGTAACTGAAAGGTCAATGGCGGAAGGTCAATGACCAGTAGAAGATGGAATAAATATATATATATATATATGAAATAAGAACATGCATCTTTGGACCAATGGGCTAATAGCCATGCTATGCCATGCGACACAGATATTGATCTGAAAGGTGTCCTGCTTCAAAGCGTTTGGGGAAGACCCACAGATAGAAGGGAGCGGCAGTGTCTAGGGAAGAAATCTTGGCGCCGGAAAGACAGTCTTTGAAGTATTCTGCAGACCAAAACGCGAGACAAGACCTTGTTACGGCAAATCTGAATTGATGCCAAGCTTGGCTCCATTTCTGGGTTTGGAATGACAGAAAGACTGCCCGGAAGCAATCCAATGGATCAATCTGTGTCACATTTGCTGCGATATGCTGCGATGAGTGCTGCGATGTTTCCGACGAGAGGCATTTCGGATGAAAAGAGGCAACGGGCCGTAGTGGGCCAACGGTTCTTTTGGGGCAGATGACATATCCCAGGCAGATTATTCATGAAACATTCAGATGACCCAGTTGCTGAACCAGGCAGATAACCCGCAGGATGACCAGGTCGACTCGTTGGTCGTCGCTCGATTTGTTGTTCCGTTGGGAGTTCTACTCGTGGTCGTGGACGAACGTGAACACATTGGATGAACGGTGTGGGGATGTTGGGAGATATATCTTATAGATATATTGTAGATATAATATATACACCTGGAACCCATTTGACCTCTGTTTTGATAGGAACAGACCATATTTTGGGTGGTTGGTGGTCCAATATAGAGGTCATTCAGGTTCTAGGTATATATTCTAGACGTGTAGACGAGACTCCCGGCCCAGGCGGTTCTTTTTGATGGCTTGGGTCGATGTCCCGACCCAGGTTTGGGTCAGAACGCCCGGTTCGGTCTCAAGCTTTTTCGCACGCACAGATGGGATGAATGCAGCCTCAAACGTGGGTTCCTGACACCCCGTGATTTGTTGTGAATGTAAAGGATGACTAGAATCCACCCCCCATGAGCAGTATAGGTAGAGATGCATGCCTATTTTACAGTAAAGACCTTGGCTAACGGCTAACCATCACCATGTGCTGAACTCATATAGAGAGAACACAGCTAATTCTTCAAGTTATAAGGTTGCCAAGACCAGCTGAGATGGCTGGTGTGATTGGCGCTGCTGATAGGAGATCCCCCTTAGACATCAGAGGTGAGGCAAGGCATTGAGGATTCAAATATCTTTTTTGGTTTGATGACCGAGCCGACGCCGACGACGCATGAGGGTTGCATGCTTCAGCCTCTGGACGCATGGACGTCCACGGATCCACCTGGATGGATCACCCTGGGATCCTTAGCGACGTTGATGAGTGTCTCCAATCACCCTGGATAGGAGGAGATGTGGAGCCATAGGGTATATATTGTGATGTAGAATGTATGTGAATGTATGTATGTATGTGTCAAGGGATCGAGTACATGCGTCCGTGCCCATCGGTGGGTGGTATGCCTGCCCACCTCATATCACCACTGACACACACACACACACTATACAATATGTTGATGGGTGCGCTACTGCGGTTTTCTACTAAGAGATTCCACAAGAAAACCTCCTGGATCTTTCCTGCAATCACGGTCACTGGAATCATCATGGACCATGGAAGTGGACAATGATTCCACTTGGATGATAAGTTTCCTTTGCAAACATGTGGTTTTTCACTTCCCATGCTGATTCCTCTCCGAGCTCCGAGCTCGACCCTGCAGGCCTTGCCAGACAGAGCTGCCCGGATCATTGGAGATGCTGCCTACGCCAACAGTGAGAAGGACGTACCCACCAGAACTCCGGGACGTTGGTCCTGCATCAGGGTGAGAGTATATCGGAAAGCCCACTAGATTACTAGATCATATAATATCATATACACATGATCAAACAAGATCAAACATGAACACATACAAACAATGTGATCATGTACATGTATGTGATCCAGGGGCTGTAAGCTTTGATCACATACAAACATGATCAAACATGTAAGCTGATTGCTTGGGGTGGCTGGGGATGGTGTTTTTTCGTGTATTTGTTTTCCAAAGCTGCGGACACACCGACTGTGTGGCTTCCACAAGTCCTTGTGCCAAGGAAAAGCTGTTACAATCTACATCCTTCCTGCTTGGTCGATTTGACCTGTTTGGATCAGTCCTGTCAGACCGGGTCTCCTCTTGCGGATTCTCTTGGGTTCTCGGCGATATCTTTGTTATTCTTGAGAATGGGCATACACTCAGTCCGTGTTTTCCTCACGTGGCGCTCCACTCAGTCCATCCTCAAAGTACGTATCGGTTTTGGAGAAAAACCTGGAAAACAAAGATGGGAGGTGTTTTTTTCTGAGATTGTAGCTCCAATGATGTCAGACCCGGTATTAGTATGTAACAGTACGTATAATGTATATATATATATATATTATGTATCCTACAATTGGCTTGAAGCAGTCTTTGGCAGAAAGGCAGCATAGCTAAGTTTAAAGCAGATTATACTGGTCTTTGTTCCTGTTGTTCGTTAACAGAGCTTGGCCAACGGACCGATTCTCATCGATTCCTTGTTCTGCGCAGAAGAATGAAGCTGGCGAGTGGAAGGCTTCCAACACCGATTAACAACCTATTTCAGAAAATCCCATCATGTTTCAGAGGTCGGACGTTCTGACACTCCGAATGCAGGGTCGGTTTTCATTCACCCTTGGCGGAACCACGCAGAACCACGCAGAACGCCGCGCCACCGGTCTGGCTCAAGTTGCGCCCCTCGTGACGCGCCCCCACGTACCACCGAGATCTCGGCGGCGGCGCCCATTCGTCAACGAGCGTTTTCAGCCGGAGCGCTCAGGGGATGGAGCTCGCTCCGCTCCGCGGGGCGGCTCCGACCGGGTAACACCGGGTTACACCGGTCCGTTGTTCGAGGATCGGTCAGGACCCGGACCGACTGAAGTGTGGAAGTTCAAAGACAGGTCCCTGGGTCCCTGACAGACCTGTCTTTGGAGAGACTGGATGCCCTTAGGGTGGTGGTCCCGGTGGCTGTCGTCACATGTGACAGATGTTGTCAGGGAGTTCTGAGACGGCTTTCTGGACAGCTTGCAACGGCTTGCCTTGGAGTTTGATGAGTTTGCAACCTTTCGTGGCTCCCTGTTTCAATGTGTTTCTCATGAATTGACTTGTAAAATAGAGTCCCTATGAAGTGTGATCTGGCAGATCAGCTGAGTGTCACACGGAAATCTTTGTACTGAACTCGCAGTGCTTCAACAGCCTTGGCAGGTTTTTGACTGAACAATGGGCAGGTGGCCTCAGTATCCGCCCTTCATGTCCTTCGATTTTGATCGATCGCGTTTTCGTGAGTCTTTTTGATTGCTGATCGTCCACTTGAGTCGAAGTGATTTTCCTCTACAACCACATGGTTTCTACGTCCGTACAGGTTCCATGTTAATCTTCCAGGGCGTAGCAGGATTGTCCCACCATGTTGTTGATCTCTCCGAACAGAAGTGGATGACGTAAGATGTCTGGAATCCACATAATTTCTGGATGCGGAAGTGGAAGTGCCCCAAGTGTTGATTCGCAGAAAAAGTCCAAAGTTTGAACATGACTCCTTGACAACTCCTTTGTCCACGTTGAGTGGAGTGGGGAAGCGTTTGACATTTCCATTATGTCTTTTTTTTTCCAAATTCCATGAACTTGTGTGGCACACATGACCAATCTCTTGGCCGTACATGACCAATCGATCTGTGTAGACTCAGAGATGTGATCACGAATCATATATGGATAATATACCCTAGGGCTCCAACCACCTCCTGAGAAGATGGTTGGGGTGGGTTTGGGGGGTCTAACAACCTTTTGAGGATATGGTTGGAGCCCTAGGGATATAACATATGCATATCAGCTGTTTGCATGTGGTCGATGGTTCATTTGAATGTGTTTCTTCTTTGGTTTCGGTCAGTATGAAGTGCCACTGAGGGTAGACTCTGCCGGCAGTAGAATCATGTAGAATTTGTTTGTCAATGGTTTTCCGTGCACGTGTTTCGTATCCACAAGCAGTTGCAAATGGACATATATTCCGAAGGACACTCTTTGTGACATCCGTTTACCTTGTGTACCCTATGCCTATCGGAGAAAAGTTTCGTAACAGCTTCTCCAGAATCTAATGAGATAACGTCTCCTTGCCACTAGAATGGGGTGGAAACTAATCTAGTGTATATACTTTGGGTGGAAACTCCGCTGGAATTCCACTGTGATCTCTTGTAGGATTCAACGGCTAAAGGGTTGACATGTCTTTACATGATACAGGCTTACCCACTTTTGTCCTGTCTGTGTACACATCAAGCATGTGCTCCCCCTGCAGCACCGCACCTGTCAGAGCCGACCTCCGGAGCGAGGCCTTACGACCAGCTGCTGTGCCAAAGGTGAGGAGGTGCCGAGCCAAAACAAGTCATCGAAGGAGTCGGGGAGGTCGACGTCTTCAAAGCAAAGGACTCTTACGGAGGTCGATGAACCAGAGATTTGTACTGTTGTGGGGTATAGTGTTATGTGATTCACTATTTGTATAATAGTGTTATGTGATTATATATGTGCACTGTATAAAGACATATAAAGACAAGAAGTGGCTGAGAGACTTGGTTTGGGCCCAAACATGGCAGGTCTTGGTCGATGATGTGCAAAAGGTGGCTTGTGCCTCAGATGCGCCGTTGGCCCTTCTTTTGTTTGGAGCCGAAGGAGTGTCAGACATTTCAGGAAGGAAACGCCCAATGTCGGTAGATCCTTAGATACATTCAAATCATTCTAAATGCATCAAAATACTCGGTCTTTGGATGGAGCAGTGTTTGGGAGTACCTTGATTTGCGCTATCGCAGGGCCTTGATTGGCTGGTGAAGGACCTCCTAGATCCATTCAGACGTTTTCAGACTGATCTTGGGCTGCTCGAGGCTCCAGGCCCCTGCAGCACACCGATTCGGACTCCGATTCGCTCGGGGTGAGCCGGTGCCGGTGCACCTCGGTGCTCAGGAGGCGTTTGGAGATGGCACTGCGGAGGAGATGGCAAACCGCTGGATGTCGGGACTGACAGGTTTTGACGATAGTCACTAAGGTCTAAGGTTCTAAGGTGTCATGCCTTTGGATGTCCATGGTGTTGAGTCTTTTTTCCTTTGAAACCATTCGCTACGGCTCGGACTGGTGGGACTGGGGATGTTGTCAGCGGGTGACTGGAACTACCCTTTGATGTAACATCGTTGGATCCGGACCCCAAAAGCAACGTAGCATCCATAGGGGAGCTGAGGCCACCCCATTCTTTTGACTCGGCACCCAGCGGCATGTGCTTGTGGGATGGTATATGTCTTTTTGAGCATCGCGGTTGGGGGGGTTACGAATTTGGACTTACACTATCTTATACCCCTATGGTGCAGAGAGAACTTCTTTGAGATCTCTGTGCGATCACACTACCTGCCAACCATGCTCTCCCACGTGTGGAAAGAGGTCAGTCTAATTCGTTCGCACCCACCGAGTTTCGCTTGATTAAGAAGCGGAGAGGAGCCTTTTCGTCACAGTCCAGAGTCCAGGGCTTGTTTTTCGCCCGGTCCAAGTGGGTACCAGTGACATACGAGTGGCTCATGGGCACCCCGACTTCCTTCCGTTCGTTCGTTCGAAAAACTCCCCGGAAGCGCTCTGTGAGTGACCCACCGACCCCCCGACCTGCCGCGGGTGGAGCGCAAGTTTCGACCGCGTGGCGGATCGGTGCGGATCTGCGCGGTTGGCAGGAAAGCCCCACGGGCCTTAGTGGCCCGAAGCCTCAGTAGAATCGAGGGTTCGACTGACTGGAAGCAGAGATCATAGAGGCTATACTTCTTTCAGCTTCTGAATAGAGGTATACCATATGCCCCGCTATCCTGGGAGGCCCAATCAGGTGGCTGGCGGTGAAGGAAGTATCGGAGGATCGCTTTAAAGACACCTGCGTGTGGTTAGTATCTGACTTTGGCACAATTTGAGAAGTCCATAGTCATAGTTTGTTTGAAAAATGCTCCTGTCGGGAGTACCATGCTCCATCCTCTAAGCCACATGTTCGGCTTAGAGATTCCTGCCTTTTTTAGAGGCACTGAAGGGTCTGCAGAGTTTCTCAGACGCACTTCCAGGATCTCAAAAAGAAGCTTCGAATTCCCACTGGTGTCTCCTTTGGTGGAGCCCAAAGGGGTATGTTTTCTATTTTAGCACGTTGCCCTCACTCTTGATCAAGTAGGCGAGGGCAACTAGCCGCTACTACCTGGACGCAGGATAGCTCGTTCGCTTCGCACTCGCACTAGAGAGGTGAGATTTCAAGCACTCGTATAGCATATCAGAGCTGAGGGAGTATGGATGCTCACTGTGAATTTGAAGCAACGAAATGAGTCTTTTTGTGGTTGGGCAAATGAGATGATGCGGATCTTCTCCCTGAAACTGTTCAAAAGGGGGGCGGGGGTGCCATGGTCCAAGATGGTCCAAGCACTTCAACTTACAAACCCCACGGATGGCAGGGCTGTTGATTCTGGTTTGACTGGGACAGCACACGGAAACCGTCATGCTTCAGGAACTGAAACAGCTCCAGTGGAGGAGAATTGCACCTGTGATTGTTTTGGGCATGTGCAGGCTTTATGACCAACTGCGACTGCAATGATGCGGAAGATGCTACGTATTGAGCCTCCTTTGCTTGCTCCCTTCTTTTCCTCTCCCCTTCTGCCTTTTCTCGATGGTATCCTTTCGCTGTGTCCTCTTGGCTCGCTGCGCCTATGTGGCTCGTTTTGCTTGGCTCGCTTGGCTTTCCTTTTTCGCTCTGTAACGACAGTGTCGTCTTGCTCACTCACCAGCCTTTTGGGCGGCCATGCTGGCCGTTCTTTCCCTTGGTTCTTTCTACGATGTTTCTGCATGTTCGTTGTTCTGAAGAACTCTGCATCATTTGTCCAAAAATGGAAAGAAAGCTTTCCATGAAATCGAAAATCGTGTCATTCAACTGGTTCCATGATCCATGCTGTCCACACTCTATTCACGCACGCGAAAAGAACCTTTTCGCCACGGACGTTGAGCGGGTACTTGCACGGCCAGGACTCCAAAAGCCTTCCCCGCTTGCCGTCCGCAGCCTCCGCCTCTGACGCGGTCGGGCCCACAGATGCACCCCAGGGACCATTCATTGATTCATCCAACTTCCCCCATATGAATCAAACAACCTCTTCATCTGAGGCTTTGAAATGAGAGGGAAGTCCCGAAACGAAATGATACCAGCGACTCAGAGTGAACCAGAGCAGACTCTTTGCCCCATACAGTTTGGTCTTGATTCATTTACTTCGTCGTGCATAGACTTTAATGTGGTCCCATAATATACATAACCTTGTGCCATCTACTCCAAAGCTACTCGAGGCTTGAAGGGGTTATATATTTGGACGACCACTATGCCGGGAATCTTTGTTAGATTTGGCACTGGCCTGCAAATAATTGTGGAGGATGTTCAGTGTTTAGGAAGTTGAAGCCTTTTGCTTTACTTTGGGACAGGCTGGTCCGTTCAATCTTAACTCTGTCCAGGTTCATTAAGCTGGCCTCATTTCCTTCGGTGTCGGATTAACCAAGCTGTGAAGTTGCCCTGTCCGTCACAGCCTGCCCCTGTGCATAGAGTATTTCTGGAGAGGGACACCTGAAAAAGCATTATGCTAACCAGTTTAGTCTTCACATGTAACTCTCGTCCTGAATATGCTTCATTAACTGTGAAACCGTAACATTTATGTAAAAAGAAGTTTTGCATTGTCCGGACATATTACTCAGCTGCCTCACTTTTGAACCTGTGTTCAACGAGGTCCAAAACAGGGCACATCATCAGACGGTTTTTACACGATGATCTCCAGAACATCAAGCTGGTGCACCTGGAAGAGAACCGTGGAGAAGAACATGTTCCGCTTCACATTGATTGCTTCTAGAGTCTACCGCAAGCTGCATGACAAGTCTACCTTGCACAAATGGACAAGCACTGCAGCACGGCAAAGAGAAAGTCAACAAAACAGGTGGTATAGCAAAACAATGCCTGGACTCTCCAACAGGTGTTTCCTGACAACAGGTGGGCTGTTGAAATAACCCCGCGCTCAGCGGTTTAGTATTGGCATGCACCTTAACACTACTAATGCATTCCTACCCCAGAAAACGATAAGAGTAACAAAAACGATAACAACGATTATACCTGCACATTCAGAAAAAAAAAAGCTACTAGGGGCTCCTGGCCTTACTACTAGGAACAAGAAGCTACTAGGGACTCCTGGCCTTACTACTAAGAACAAGAACAAGAAGCTACTAGGGACTCCTTGCCTTGCTACTAAGAACAAGAACAAGAAGCTACTAGGGACTCCTTGCCTTGCTACTAAGAACAATAACAAAAAGCTACTAGGGACTCCTTGCCTTACTACAAAGCAACATCGCTACCAGAAGCTCTTAGGGGCTCCTGGCCTTACTACCAGGAACTGAATGGGCTGTTTGGTCCACATGCTGCAGCTGTTTACATGAACCACGAAGATGGCAACCTGCAAAGGTGTCCGGAACGATAACAAAACGATAACGAAAACAATAAGGAAATGTAGCAAAAAGCAGCCCTGGTGGGCAAGTACCCATTTGACTGTTTTCATTAGACCTTTTGAAGGGCAGAGGTGTGTGATGTGGTGGTCTTGTTTAGCTGTCTATATCTGATTTTTGCTGCTGCCATGTCTTTACCACCAAAGACGGTGCACGCCTTGGTACAGGCAGTGCTACGGGATCCTGAAGTAGGACCATGTAGATCACCAAAACTACCACCAAAGGACATCTTTTGATTTGTGATCTTCCACCAAAGATGCTTTCACCTGAGAAAACGATAAGAGTAAAGTAAAACGATAGGTATTGCAAAAGACACGGGTTTTTTTCAACACCCCAGGTGCCCTCTAAAAACCACCTGTTAGACTTGAAAGAATCCACCTGTTGGAAGGTCCTGGTGTGTACAGTAAGTTGATCCGCAACCTGACTTTTTAAGACCACAAAATACAGGTCGAGCCGGCAGTAATATACCAGCTGTAGGTCTGTTACGCCCCGTAGGACGCCCTTGACTGGGACACAACCACAGGGACGGTGGGACCGCCTCAGTCTCGTTCCACCTGCCAGATCTCCATCAAAACAGATGGCGACCGCTACACCGCAAGGCGAAGATGGAGTTGGTAGTTGCTAGTTGGAGCTGGGAGTTGGTAGTTGCTAGTTGGAGCTGGTAATTGAAGTTGATGGCGTAGTTGGAGATAGAAGCTCACTGTCCCACATTCATGCCGGATTTCAATCTCCAAGATCGCGGTGTCCTCAATGTTCAGTTCGGGCGTAGATACAGGTGTCTATTCTGCCGCTCTTTCCTTGTTTTTGGTGGTTTGTTGTTCTCTCGATGAGCACGGAACGCCCCCAAATGTAGGAGTCAGAGGCTACAGGGATAACTGAGTTGTTCTTCATGAGCTTGGGGCCATTTAGTTTGCAAGTAGATACTCCAAGTCCAAGTATCTCCCAAATAAGGTTTAAGGTGCATCGTACATTGATACTCCGAATTCCTCAAAACAACATGTGGGCACCAAGGATTGATGTGCTATGCCTTTCTTGGAACATGGCTTAAAATTTAAGCCATTTGTGATGCAGCATCCTGTTGAGGTAGCACCTTCCTTTCCCTCGTCCTGGCAAGGTCTTATCGGAAATACGTAGACTCACATCGATTCCAACACCGCACGAGCAACATGCTATCAAGCCCTCAATAGAGGCCCTGGCGCCCTCGGACTGCTGCCTCTCCAAAGCAACCAACTGGTGGCGATGCCAGGCAGCTGCTCTTGATGGGTCGTTATATTGAGGCCGAGGAGCTTCTAAAGGAAACGGGCGAAGACGAGGCCAGAGATTTTTCACCGTGACGCGCCAGGTCGGGCTCGTGCCATGGCATCCTCATGCTGGCTTGTGTTATCCATTTGTGTCGCGGAAGACCACTTCCAGCATTGAAGACAAAGAGTTCTCATTCCTTTGTGTTGTGGTTAGAAGACTGCTGCTCCAGCTTGAAGTAGGGGTGACATGCTGGTGTGGTGTACATTTACATTCCGCTTTTTTGCTTAAAGTTGGACTTTTGGAAGTCTAAGCTTGGAGAAAGGGTAGGTATCTGATAGGATTTGATAGGTGCCAGCACCCAAAAACCTAGTGGTCACGACTCTATCACTATGGGATACTATTGGTGGCCATAGCGGATGCGTTGATCCTTCATGAGCGTATGCTGGAGCAATATTCACAGGGTAAATCACCCAGAGGAGGCCTAAGTATTCATGTGGATAAGTTTGCATCATCGTGCTTTGGAAACGGCATGCAACTTTGGCCTTGGGACATTTCTGAACCATTCTTTCTCCAGCGTCCTTCAGTATCTTTGCTTACGCTCACAGGATGGAGTCCAGGGCTTTTTGGAGAAGGCTGGATTGGCGTCCCGCAACCGCTGGAGGAGTATGGCATTTGGAGTCCGGAAGTGAGATCAACCCGAAAACAGCAGCTCACTGGTCACTTCAACTGGACTAGTTTGAGCAAACTAACTTGGAAGAAGGCCAGGAAGTTCAAGCATGCTCTGTCAGAAGTTGAACAGCTCCATCCTGTTTCAGCTTGAACCAAAAAGCAACTCAGAAACTCAGCCCAAAAGAAGCATCCGGCCCATGGGGCGCAAGTCCTTCAGGGATTGCTCCGTCATTCCGAATGATGACGACGGACGTGTGTACGTTCGGCAGACCACCTGGCCCTGGGGTAGACTGGTCGATGTCCCGAACCGACCCCTGAGGGTCGGAACGGCTGAGAGGTATCCCGTATCCCTTTCACACCCATGGACCAATGGGTCCGACCTAGCGAGGTGCCCAGTGAGGCAAGCGAAGCCTCTGATACATGTTTGACCGTCCTCAAGATGCACTGACCTACTTGATGTTCTCAATTTCTCAATGTGGAGGACCAGAAGAATTATACTCAGTAAAACTAATGCTGGTATATGCTGGTTTGTTTGTTTAGGAATGGATCTTATGTATGTCAAGTCAAGTCTTCAAGTCCAGTGGACGCCGTCCAACCAACCGCCATTCGGAAGGACGAATCGAACGCCAACCGTTGGGAGTTGCTGGCCCAGTGAAATGTTCATGCACTTCTTAAGTGAGAACCCCCTATAAGGGGCCTAAGTATCCCATTGCGGCTCCAGATCCACAAGGGTCACATCATCACAGTGGGCTGCACTACTTGGGGGGTCAGCATGCCAATGGTTATGATGGCTTAGTGGACAAGAAGAAGAAGAAGAAGCATACTGCAACCAGGTTTTGGACAACACCGAAGCTTAAACAAAAGTCTCTCTCTCTATATATATATATGAACATGTACAACATGTTTGTGTTGGATCTGATTGCTCAGCTGCGACCGGTTCCATGCTTGAAGAGACGATCGGTGGTGTTCAGGTGATGCCCTCCATGAGAGAAATTGCCGGGAGCCCAAACCCGGCGTGTCGCACTGGTCCCGGGCGTCCAGCGGCTTTCAAGCTCACGGGCAACAAACAGGTGAGCTCTTCAGCTAGGGAGTCTAGCCTCAAGTTGGGCCGAAAAAAATGAGCACTTCGGCCTTGGACACCTTGAAATGGCCTTACTACTAGCAACAAGAAGCTGCTAGGGCCTAGGGGCTCCTGGCCTCGCTACTAGGAGCAAGAACGCTACTAGGGGCTCCTGGCCTTACTCCTCCAAGATGTGTTTTCTCTGCACTCTCTTGTCACACCGGAACCTGCAACCCATGCAACCTTCCCGTCTCCCCGAGGCAGTTCGGGCAAGGCTACCTACGGAGAAGGATGGGTCGAAGCGCTTTTGAGTGGGTTTTTGAGGTGGATGAACCAGGCTCTATGGAAGAAATCCAACACCATCTCAAAGAAGCGGGAAAAAGTTGTATGTACTATAGTTGGGTTCCAATTGAGACTAATAGTAAGAGAGTTCTTGTCTAGAAGGTTATGTTAAGACATGCCTTTTTGAAGATGAAAGTTTAATGAGTTGAAGCATTTATTGGTTGGAAGCTTATTCATGACAAGCTCACAAGCTTTTCATTGGAAGATCCGGCCGCTTCGAAACCAATCTGCGGCCGTTGTCCAAGAGAGAAAAGCGAGCTTCCAGTTCTCGCAGGAAGGCTACACAAAGTTGGAGATTCCAGAGCACAATATGGTTGTCTATGTGCCCGTGCCTCATACTGCGCTGCCTGTAGCTGCCGGCGCTGCCAGCGACGGTCTCGATGGTTGTCCGAACGGGGAGGCGGTTTGCCAGAGACCGCTGGATGGCAATGCAGATCGACCAACCATGGGGACAGCACTGGTGCCCCTGGTGGTGATTGACAGGAGTAAGGCGTCTTAATTCCATTGAGTTCTTCATCATAAAGCGGGCACCTTCCAGGTAGGCAAATCTCTACAATCAGTCAGAAACGGTCAGATTCTCCCCTTAGATCTGCTCTCTTGGGACCATCCCGGACTTGGTCCCGGACATGCTCTCTGCAAGGCGTCGAGCCGAGACCATCGACGTGTGCTTCTCAACGGACCTTCCAGCCACGCATGGAGACCCAGGGAGTCGAGCGGGTCGAACTGGTCCAGCCTGACGGAACTGGTCCGTTCCTTCACAAGCGACGATGGCGTTGTGTGTTTGTTGCATGATCGACTCCAGTTTTCATGAAGTTCAACTGACATGCAGTACGGATAGTCATTTTTGGAACCTGGGTACAGTCTGCAGTCTTGGTTTTGTTTCTGTCTGGAGCCACCAGTGAGGTGGTGAGACTACAGAGTTTGTGCTACCACCGTATAATTCATCAAGGTAAACGCATGCAGTTGTCCAGAAGGAGTTGCCCCGGTGACTCTTGTGCATATGTTTTATATAGATGTGCAATTAAATATATGTTATTCATAATTGTATATATATATGATTATATAAGCTATACAGAAAGGCATAGGCTGTGATTTGTCATGTAGAATTGAATAGTTATTATTAATAATTGTATATAAGATTGTATAAACTATATAGGAAGGCATAGGGAGTGATTTGTCAATTATGTGGTTGTGGGTCCAAACAAAACATCTCCAATGTACTATTCGGTGAAGATCCCCAAAAATCCAAGTTTGTTCAATTGTTACAGTAGTTATCACACACACAAACAAATTCTCGCTTTTGGGATTGGAGACGTCAATGCTTACTTGATCCATTGAAGAGGAAGTACTAGAATCTTGCAGCCTTATTCAATTGCCAAGAGCTCGGACAGAGCAGAGCAGCACGGTTGCTCCGTTCTGAACGACGAAATGGACCTGTATCCAGATCCTGACGCGGTCAACGCGTGAGGTGGGAGAAGATGTTGGCCATGAACTGGGAGTCCTCCCCAGCAAGTTTGGCCGGGCTGGTGGTCTGTCCTTGAGTGTTTTTGGGTTAGCGGGGCAGGTGGCGACACCACTGAAGGCGAAGAGGGATTTGCATGTGTTCAGCTCCTTCTTTCCTGCTTTGGTCCATCTCTCGTTCTTTCGTTGTTTTCAGACCCTTTGATTGCTGTAAGCCAGGGACGTTGAGGCACTTTGACTGCAGTCAACCGACATAGCTGTCATGTGCAGTCATAGACCATAGTGTGTCAACGCGGTCGTTCCGGCTTTTTTTTTAGAGCCTTAAATATTGATTCTCTATATAGATCGAAAGGCCTTGAGTGCGAACCATGAACGTCCGTGAAAGCTGGATCTCGTGCGGACAGACTTCATGCATGGGCCTCAAGTCTTGAACAAACAAATCCAGGACAGAGGACTTGTGGGCTTGTCGCAGAGGAAGTCCCCCATGTCCCCCAACTTGGTTTAGGAGAAGTAGATTCAGACGAATCATGAACTGGTTCAGATAGCCCCTTGTTTGTCTGGACAGACCATGACAGGCCCACATCGGCCCACATGCCTTGCTCCCCGATTGAGCACTGACAGCTGCTAACTGAATCCAAGAGTCCCAAAAGTGTGGGCCCCTTTGTCACGAACGCATCACTTCTTTTTTTTCATACCAGGTGTTTTGTGTGTTTTTGCCGAGGTTGTTCCTTAGCTTCCGGGTGTGGCTTGAAAAGAGTAGAGACTGTAACAAGACATATTGAAACATGCTTTGGCAGGCTGCTTGGGTCCATTTTTGGACCAACAATTAGCGTGGGCATTTTCATTTCAAGTGTACGTGATAGTTAGATAATTCATGATAATTCCACATATTGGGAGATAATACAAAAGATGCTTTGGACCTGATCTGACTGGACTCTTTCATTTTGATGGGGTCTACCGCGCCATCTCGCGGAGTCCTACCATTCCATCGCACCAACCGGTGCGCTGCAGCCACCATTCCATCGCCAGGGCAGATCTCTCCTCACAGTGGCTCCCCTTTAGCCCGGAGGTCCGACAGGGACGGGTCTGCGAGGACGGGACGGTGACCGTGCGAGGACGGATCCAGCGGTGACCGTGAAGGGCGGAGTCCCAGAACTTCCGTGAGTCCCAACTCACTCCACCAGGACTCTCAAGGATTGACACCATGCCTTGGTAAGAAGAGAAGTGGATTTGGAATTCGAGGTGGATTTGCCTCCGAAGCCCAGTTCAGTCTCTTGATGGATCAAGGAAAATCCTGTTGGTTGAGGTGGAATGCCAAGGTTGGCCCAAAAACTGGTAGAACCAGCTCACATCATGATCCGAGTTTGTTTGGTAGAGACGGAATACGTGTGATTCAGACACACTGAGGGACACCATCCTTTTGTTCCTTGAGATGGCCTATCCAGTATGAAATGATGACATCCATTTCATGTGACCCACAGATTTGTTGCTTCGTGAGCTTGTTGTTTATGTTGTTCAAATACTATGACATTGGCAGCCAGTTGTTTTTCTTCAGCTGCTACTTTCTGCTCTGGCAGGTGGTCACAACTTATTCCCAGAGAGCCTCACAGCTCATGCTGTATGCCCGGGACCCCAAAGCGACCCCTGCAACGCGACCCTTCGTCTTCCTCCGTTCCCTGAGGAGTGTGGGGGGGGTCATAAAAAGAAACCGGAAACGAAGCGACATCGGTGGACATCGGTCGTAAATAGGTGCGGAACCGCCGCACGCGCCCCGTTACATTGTTGTTTATTCGAGTTCTTGTCATTGAACAAGAACAACAGTGTAACAGCGTGATGGAATAAATCATGCATAACAAGGGACCCATTTCAGTCGTCTCAATAGCTGCCAATCAGCAACCGCAAGGCAACATGGAAGCAGCATGGAGCAGGCAAGTATAGACGGTTGCAGACCCCTTTAGTAAAGGGAAACTTCTTGTTCCACCGATGGAAAGTCCGGGCCTCATTCGCGATGTGATCCGAGGTCCATGCGAAGATCCCAGCTCTACCGGGATCTCGAGAGGCGGGGAAGGAGCTGGTTCGGTCGGGGTTTGGAGACCCAGACACCTCCGGACTGGAAGGCCTGGGCGTTTTGGGGGTGTAGGAGGTGGACGTGAAGGGGGGTCATACTTCCCAATGCATCCATCTCCATCCATCTCCTCTATAGCCAGCGCGTCCCGATCCATCCATCTTCCGATCCATCCTTCAGGAGGTCATAGAGTCATACTCCTCTAGCCAGGGGATGTGTCGCGTCGTGTGTCGCGTCGCGTGTCGCCAGGCTTACATTCACCGCCATGTGGTGGACTGTTTCACGTCCGGTGCGCTCAGATCACTTCGCTCGCAGGGCAACGCTCGCAGGCCCCACGAGAGGGACTCCTACGAACTGGGTGGGGTGGGGCGGGGTGAGAGGATTCGACCCAGACCCAGACACATGGAGGGGTCTTTGGTCTCAAATCCTTTGGTTTTAAGGGACCGGTCGGGCTGTTTGGAGTGTTTGGGCAGTCTCATGTTGATTCATTTTGTAGGTTTTCTCCGACCCATGCCAACTTGGAGGCTTCGGATTGCAGTGCTTCTGTGCCTCCAGAATGCCACCCAAAATCATTTATCCACTTGGAGATGAGATCATTGCTGCCCTTCCTTGATGTTTTTATTTTTTTTCCAGGAGCTGCGCTAGCCGTAAAATTGCAGAACAAGAATGCATCGTAATTACATCACATCATTCATTGGGGTGATCCAGATGAACCTCGCACAAGTCAGAATGATTACAGAAATAGCACGTGCAAAGGAGATGCCTTGAACTTTGAGGGTTGGAGGGTCGAAGAGCCTCGAGGAGTCTAGTCACTAGACTCCTCGAGTTCCAGATTCTTACCATGCAGATGCATGCAGTAAAGAATGGGTAAATCGACCCTCCTGAGACCACTGACCACTGAGGTTCTGGAACTGGAATTCCTAGAGGTAAAGTTTCAATTTGCTAGAAGAGTTCGTTTTCCCTTGCCTCTTTGTGTTGCAGCTTTTCAAAGAGGCCCATTTGGGCTGATTATACCTGGAACTTTCTGAGAGTGCATCTTTTTGATTTGCGACATGAAACACATCTTTTGGAGTCACAGCCTTATATTTTAGTCTGCGGATGTTTTGTTATGGGATGCTACGGGCGTTTTTCCCGAGCCTGTTTTGTCAGCGCATGGTTATTTTGGTTACGGATGTTTATGTGGTTCACATACCTAAATAAAGGAATGTTGAACTACCGACAAAAAACAACAACCACGAGGTTGCAGGTATAATCAAACATGATCGTTCACACATTTTGGAGTCGAGTGGTCAGCTCCTTCAGTGGGGAACCACGTGGATTCTCAGGCCAAACTCCATCCTAGATGGTCGGCAAGGACTTCTGATTGTCGCGGCCCCAGGTCTGGAAGGGGCAGGGTGGGTGATACTGCCGATCCCATCCATCCAGTTGTCATCCCGCTGACGGCGCGAACAAAGACAGATTGAAGCGTAAGGCCAAACTATCCTGGACAAGGGGCCGTGCCATTGGTGACCAGGCAACAACCAGAGATATCAATCCATCATCCATCATCCATCCAGAATCCAAAGAGTCATGCGAAACGAGTTGAACTCGTCCTGCGAAAAATGTGAGCAAGGAATTGACTTAGGCCCAATCAGCGGTACTTGGTAATGCTCTATAGTATTCTATAGTGGATTCTAGCAGGCAACTTGCTTTTCCGAAGTCACCACATGTGGTGTCACCGTGTGGTACATTGTGTTTGGAAGGTTGGCCTGCCCATTTTTCAGCCAATACAGTGCAGAGAAGTCGCTCATCCAAATCTTTTGCTCTTCACATCCAGCCCCCCCAGCGGTTTCTGGACCCATGCTCCATCGTCGAAAGCGGTAGGTCTCCACCGCCGTGGTTTCCAACCACCGCCACCGAGGTAGAGAAGTCGCCCGATAATTGGAAGACGGGTGGGGTTTTCATGGATGAATTCCATGTCCGGACCCCCCAGCGGAGACCCGACCCGACGGCGGACGGACACGACCGGGTTTCGGGGGAGGGCGGACGAAGTGGGGGCGGTGGATTGGGGTGGTGCAAGCTCCCAGAATCACCCAGTCGCGCGCAGGATGTGTGTGGAGGTGGTTCATCGATGTTGGGCTGTCTAAGATGTTGGGCTGTCTTGGGTTCACTGATGAACTCCGTGAAACAATCATGAGTACGTGGAGGGCATGGCCCAGAAGCTCTATAAGTGGTTTTCCAGCTTCCACAATTGCATTCTCACTACCGGTCACTCGGGAACTCGACGCCCAAGAAGGAGACCCAGACCGAACAATGGGCGTACATTAAAAGAGGGAGATCTCTCAAAGACCCGCTGGAAGAAGGGAACTAGTCAGTCCAAAACAAACATTGGCTGCGTGTTTTCCCTATTTACATGCACACCCCAATGTTAGTTGGGTGTCAAGAGAATGCAAAGCTGCAGAGTAGATACTGTGGAGCCGCCCCTCCCCCAGTTGGTGACAGATGTGCTTGTGTTGTTTGCTTTTAAGATGCGTAAGATGTACCTGTCCAAGTCAATGTCCTCTTCGGAACACCTTCGATGAAAGCGCTCAATCCGATTGGAACCTTCAGCGCTCCGAACCGAAGCCACCGAACACGCGCCGATTTCTCGGTGTCGAAATCGGTGTCCGAGCCGAATCGGTGGTTTCAACCCATGGGAACCACATGAGTTGGTCGGTTTAGTCGACGTTGTGAGCATCATATTATACATAATATATATATATATTATATGTTTTGTTTTCATGCTTTGATGTAGATGTATCGGATGCATGATGATGTATGTTAGCAGCATGTGGCTATGGAAGCTGAAAGCCAGGTAGTATTGAACATTCAGGCTTTCATCCGCCATCTACACGGTTTCACCAGGGAAACTTCAGAGGAACTCTCACCATCTTAGTACTAGTTGTTGCAGCAGATGTCCGGACTCTTTCTTGAACTTAAAGAAATACAGGCAACCGTTTTTTAATGATGCTCATAGAAGAAACACCTTTGAATTTGATGTTTCAAGGGTGTCCGTTAAACGCCATACTATCTCCCAACATACTATCTCCCAAAGGGGGATTACCCCAGAATGGGTCATTGCCAGCTCATTGGCATGCATTGGCTGCTATTTCCTTCGCCTCAAGTGGGATGCTACACCTGGAATACATGGTTATATATATATATATATGTGTTCCTTTTGGGTGGGGAATCGCATGAAGAAGTTCTTCTTTGGTGCGAAAGAACGTGTGATTTCGATTGATTAAACGAAAGACTTGGATGTTGGGCAGGAATTCCTTTGATTCATTTGCATGGACGACTTCATCTCTTCTTCAGGTTTGACCTAGGTTCTGCGTTCGGATGGAAGTCTCGGTTCATATTCGTGAACCTCTGTGGTAAATCGAGCAAATCAGTTCACCAGACCAGAAGAACCAATGCCTGTTTGCCAAAAAGAGCAGGTGAAGCCTCCTCCGAGTTCAAGGCAAGTAGACTGGATTAGACTGGTTGACCTGGGGGTTTGACCTGGTTTGACATCAAAGGAGGAGCTTTGGGACCGAACGAAGGACACCGAGTCGTTTTTGGTCGTTTCTTTTTCATGTTCAGCGCCACATGAGTCATGTCTTCCGCGGGTTGACCTGTTTCCTTCACCCGATGGAAGGGTCCCACCACCTGGTGTGGTCCAAGACACCAAGTCGAATTTCTGGCTTTGTCAGGATGGGACGTCAGGATTGGATGGAATGTCTAGTAGGACCATGCACATCTGAGGAGAAGGTTGAGGTTCCTCCAAGCAGAGGTAGGTTGGCCGGCCATGACTTGTTGTGCCTTCTCAGTTTTTCACCACCAAGACCAAGCCTGTACCTGGTCAAGCCTTTGACATAATCTTGGCATAGACCTTAGTGTCATAATTATGTCAAGTTTTTGTCTTATATACCTGGTCTTTGCAAATAGACTCTCCACAATTTCTTGTCCTTGTTTCTGTCTCTTAAGATGTGTTGGCTGGGTTCCAAGGGTTCCAAGAGCAGATGGGTGCCATGCTTTGCTTGCTTTCAGCACTGGGAACCACATCCGAAGAAGACAGAGTGCCGTTCCGTTTGCCTTCCTTCTTCGAGGACCGAGGCTTCATCCATGTCCTGATCCTTTGGGGGTTCCCACATAGGTGACCGATGAGGCATAGGTGTCCGACAGGCAAGTTTGAGGTGAACATGTTCAAAGACATGGTGTTCGATCTCGGAAAACCGTGCGTTTTCAGCAGATTGAACTGTTTCAGATGGTAGACACCGTAGTCGTAGCCTCCCTGTACTCCTCTGCGTTACTCTGATCACCAATCCTTCGGCTCCGCGTGATCACAAACGCCCGCCCGGTTCACAGCTGATTCTGCAGGTGGGTGACACGAGACGAACAGCTCGAAAGCTTCACGTTTTACGAGTACGTGAACCCCACGACACTTGGCTCGGGAAAGCGTTTGCTGCTGAGAAAAGAGTTTGCGCAAGGAACGTATTTCCTGTAGTTTGCCAATGTTTGCTATACCTATTGTTGGCTCTAGGCCATGTCCACGTGATGAAAAACGCGACGTCGCTTCAGATTTCATTTTCTGACCAAGAAACCATCGGTTGGTTTGTTCTTTCTTGGGAGGGCCATTCACAGTTGTCCGGTTGGAGTAAGTTGGAAATGAACGGAAGCGCGGTAGTCCATGTGGGCTTCCAGCTCAAATGGCATGCAACATGATGGCACAACCGTGCCAAATGCACACTGCCAGTTTGCTGAGGACCATTCGTTGTTTTATCAGATACAAGCTGCTTGGCAAGACAAAACACCCGGATTCGCTACACAGAAATCTGGTAACAACTCAGGACCTTGAATGGTCTCAAGGCCCAACTGACTGAAACAAATAGACTTGGCTTGTTTTATCTTGAACAACTTTAGGCAGCTCTTCAAGACTCCAGCCGCGATGTCCGTGTTCATTAAAGAAGGATCAAACGTTCAAGCCCCCTAGGGTTCCAAGTACCTTCTGAGAAGGTCTTTGGGGTGGGTTTGGAGGGTCCAAATACCTTCTGAGGACGTACGACTGGAGCCCTTTCTGGGCCGTTGTTCTGTGTTCCACGGGCGAGTCCCTCCACGATGGAACACAGTAACACTGTAAGACTATATACTTGAAAGGGGCGCTTCAAGACCATGGACTTGGGGAGGTTGTGCCCAGCAGCTCCTGAGCTCGGAAGAGGAGCCCTGCACCTGCAGCTGGCACATTTGCTGGCACTGCCATACCTTGGGGTGGTGCGATGGCTATACTGGGTGGTGTTTTTCCGATATTGTTATTCTCAACCTCTACTCGGGATCTTGATCTTACTGACTAATATGTTTTAAGTGAGTTGAAACCACCAACCTTGAGTCTACCACCTGTTGACCTTCTTTTTCCAAAACTGCCGGGGGGCCTCCTGTAGACGAAGCCTGACCAAGCCTGACCGCCCTTCTGAACCCTCGTGTGAGGCCCATCCCCAAGCAAGGGCCATGCAGCTCCGAATCGGTCGACTGAGGCTCAATTTCAACATTTCGCCCGGATCTTACAGCGAGACAAGAGCTCGACTGGACTGGACGACGGGTGTTGGTCGTGAAGAGACATGAGTTTGCGCCATGGTGATGTGATATGATGTGGTTTTTCCTTGTTCCTAGTAGCGTCCTTGCTCCTAGTAGTAAGGCCAGGAGCCCCTAGTAGCCAGTAGCGTCTAAATATTATTGAAAGCCATGGGAAAGCCAGGTGTTAGTTTTTCTGACACTTGTTGAAAGCTTCCTTGTCGCTCAATGCTTTGTGATGAGCTTTGCGTAGCTTTTCAAAATACTTCAGGCAGGTGGACGTAGATTGTGCTTCACTTTGTTGGCCAAATCTGGGTAATGTTCGATCTTAATTAGTAAGCGGCCCCCCCCCCC